ATAATAAATTAGAAGCATTCATCGATGACTCTCTTCCCTCGTTGGATGTTTATCTTCGACTTTGACCCCGATATCTTCGCCGTAATTCGTCTGTTGACTCTCTGATCTGATTCCTCCTGAAGTGAGAATTCTCGCTCGAAAGATTCCAAATTCGCAATCCTATCTGCCGGTGAGAGCGAGGTACAGGGAAGAACAACACCCCGTGAAAGAAGAAAATACGGGACGCTCTCGTTGCATTGAGCGTACTCACGTACTCTACGGACACCTAGCTCTCTTGACATTAGCATATAAACTAGAAAATGTTTTATCGCGCTCGTCTGAGAGATCTCCCGTCCCCAGCTCGAGTATCACGTGGTACTGAAAAATATTTATTGGCTCTTAACGATCGTTTAGGAACATCGGAAACGGATGAATGTACTTATGCTTTTCAATATCTGAAATGGATATAGACGTTTTCAGGGTGTCTAGCGGTTAGGGAAATTTGGAAAACTGGATAGGAATAATTGGAAATTTTTTATTAAATAAACTTTTCCTTGACTCTCAACACGCTAATTCTTTGTGTTGTTAAAAATCGATTCGCGTTAATTTATATTTTCATCGTCGTGTTATTTTATTTCAATGTATTGGATAGAGATAAAACTAAAAAATTTGATATAATATGAATAAAAAGGGTGATTATTTAAATAGTTTATAGTGACACGTTTGTTTCGATTATCGTACATAATGCAGATTGTATATAATTGATTTAAAATTTTTGTTTTAACTTTCGAACCTTTTCATTGTTGACAAAAATATCTCAAGAATTTCATCATTAACATTTAATTGATTTATCATATAGATATGTGCAAATTATAATATTTGGGAAAAATAATACTAAAAAGTCAGGGAATTTTTTTCATCGAATCCGCTGGACACCCTGGTTTTCTCCTAGAAAATTCTCGCCGTGTCTAACTATATAATTCTTCGAATGATTCTCTCCTTCGTTTAATAAAACTCTCATGTTCGAATCATTTTTTTCGATGATGAAAAAAATGTCGTAAATATGTCAGGAATAATACAAGGTTTACATTTAATTGATTTATCATAAAGATATGTGCAAATTATAATATTTGGGAAAAATAATACTAAAAATTTAGGGAATTTTTTCATCGAGTCTGCTGGACACCCTGGTTTTCTCCTAGAAAATTCTCGCCGTAACTATATAATTCTTCGAATGATTCTCTCTTTCGTTTAATAATAACTCTCATTTTCGAATCATTTTTTTCGATGATGAAAAAAATGTAAATATGTCAGGAATAATACAAGGTTGCCGCGCGCGAATCGTTCCCGAGGTGCTCGTCGAAATGTTTCTGAAATTAATCGACGTGAACGATAGGAAGCGCCTATTTTGCATGTCCGCGAGATGCGTTTCCGCTCTCGTTCGGCCGGTCGTTGGCGTGTCGCCAACGCGTTGCACGGCGCATTTTCAGGATCGTAACATAAAGCCGAAGATTTATGACGTCGGTGTGCCGGTGTGCCTCTCGGCGGCCAAATATATGATTTTCGGCCGTGGCACGACTGGCTTCGGGATCCCGGCATCACAGACAAAGGGATAAGGGCCTGACGATCGACCGTAAAACTCTGAGCTATACGATCGTATCGATCTCTGCTTCTTTTTGATTTATGTGTACAATTTTCCCCGTCTGCCCTTTCTACAGATGCTGAGTAAATTAAAAAAAAAGAAAAAAGATTTTATCGAATTTTGAGTGAAAGAAAATCAAGATTAACATTTTTTTTCTCCATATGTAAGTTCGAGATTAATTTATATATGGAACTTAGTAATCTCAAACCAAGAGATACAGTTCCGAAGAATTAATTTTTCGCGCTTGGGCTCTATTGGCCGATTTAAAATTCATATATTATTATTATTATTAATATTGAGAGCCGACATATATTTCTTATCTGATTTTTTTTTAATAATTGTTGAACATAAAATTGGGTTGGTTATTGGAAAGGATTGATTTTCATTATCAAGATAGGAACCATTCGATACAGATTTTGTGCGAAGCGTAAAAACATATGATATCGATTAATTATATAGGCAATATTGGCATAAAGTCGATTTGATTTCGGCGTCCCGCATTGGAGTTTCAACATTGTTTACTCCCGAAACGACATAACTTTGCGAAAGTACCGGATAGATGGAGATACGAGGCGGAAAGGAATTGCCAAACGACCGCGGCTAACGTTGTCGATAACAATATCGCTTGGAAACTCGACTCCGACGTTCCTTTGCTTCAAGGCTTGCCGAAAAGTTTGCCTCAATTAGTCGGGGAGTTTCTGCCGAGCTTGGGACGTATAATTGGCTATTTACGGGTATCATAATTTTCCTATCGTGCAAATATTAGACTTAAACATTATCGTCGATAAAACGCAACTGGCACCGTTTTTTTGTTCACTTTCTCTCTCTCTTTCTCTTTTTCTCTTTCCTATTTTTGTCTTCTTTCACTTTTTTCGCATTTGGATTATGCGGTTCTCATTGCGCCACGCGATGTGTAGGAACGGCTATAATCGGTCTTCACGAGCTATTTTAAAGTTCATTAAAGGCGCCATAATAAAAGAGTCCCGGTTGGCTGATTCTCGGATAACTTCTGATTCGCTCCTAGCGAATAAAACCTCCAGTTTTCTCTTCTTTTTCGCAGTTTCTTTTCTATTCCTGCATTCCTGATAATTCTCTCTCTGTCTCTCTCTGCTCGAAACTTTTTGAAATAAATTTTCAATCTTTTACAGTCACGGAAAGAAAATTTAAATTATTTGGTTCTTAATTTGGCGAAATAATCAATATTTGATGAGCTATAAATTAAAAATAATAGATATATAAAAAAAGATAACAAATATTCTCGAAAAAGATGTACTGGAAATAATCTGGAAAAGATATACCAGATATATCAGATTTTGCTAGAAAATTGTTTCTGCGTGATGAATTTAATTTAAACTTTATATATATATATATATATATATATATATATATCCTTATCACATTTTTATTGGCGATTATAATATCAGAAAATGAAATGAATCAAATTTTATCAAAGGCAGATTATCTATTTCGATGCACATATCGAACGTACGAGCGAAATGTCCTTTACAGACCGTAACCCCATTAAACTTTTACGATTTAAGTTTTCGTCAACATTGGAAACTGAAAAGCTCTCCGTCCGGATCTATCGAAACACAATACGAATTCACAATGTCGAATAAAAACGTTTTATTCTGAGGAGTTGAATTACAATGCAAGAGAACCAAGGACTGCACGTGAAATGTTGGTTAATTAATTTGAAGGGAAATTTGGAAATTGCCCAGGAGAGTGAAATGTATGGAAACTCTTTTCTCCTTGCTTTTATTCGAAAGCATTTCCTATTTTCTCACCATTGTAGAACATGTATGCAGAGAATATATGCTCGTAAATTTAAGAATTAATTTTCATATACGATTCTTTCATTATACCAGTTTAAAAACCACATGTATGTATTTATTCAAAGAACAAAGACTACAATAGCTTGATAAAAATTTTTGAAATTTAGCATATATCAAACAATAATGTCAATATTCTTAGCATATTTATTTTTACATTGATTTTTACATTTTATTAAACATGAGAGTGATCGTTTATTTTAGAATCAACGCTCAAATATTACAGTGAATTACAAAAACTTCATTTAATTATATTATTTGAATCTGGGTATTTCATTACACAGACACAAAATTAATCATATTCTAAAATTGTCAAAAATCTTATTTTAGTTAAAAATTTTAGAAATATTTTATAATAAAAAAAATTAAAGCAATTATATTTAATTATATTCAAGATCATTTATTACTCGACGTCAGACTAAAGTGCTCGAAAACAATGGAAGAAATATTTTTCAGACGTTATAATTTTGTTATCGATGCAAGTTATCGAGTCTATATTATAATTGATAAAACGAATACCTGCACTGTAAAGAAACATGTAATATATTACATAAAAATATGTAAAATTACAGAAATAATCAGTGTAAAATTACACGATAAATAATAGAAATTTTTATCTTTTCATTATTTATTATGTAATTTTACATTTATTATTTATGTAATTTTACATATTTTTAATGTAATTTTACATATTTTTTTTACAGTGTGGCTGCAAATTCAAAGATTAAAGGACAAAATTAATCATATTCTAAAATTTTCAAAAATCTTATTTTAGTTGAAAATTTTAGAAATATTTTAATAAAAAAAATTAAAGCAATTTAATTATATTCAAGATCATTTATTACTCGACGTCAGACTAAAGTGCTCGAAAACAATGGAAGAAATATTTTTCAGACGTTGTTATAATTTTGTTATCGATGCAAGTTATCGAGTCCATATTATAATTGATAAAACGAATACCTGGCTGCAAATTCAAAGGTTAAAGTATCGGCGTTACGTTTGACGTTTATGCTCCGTCAATCTTCGCGGAGCTTCTCTCCGCACAGTTCATTCACGCGGCTTTTCCATAATTTACTTCGATGAGGCTGAAAAGGAGACAAGCAGTCGTAGCAATCCCACCCATGCCGCATGCATACAGCTTATAGAGTTCGGAGTTTACGACGAGAGCTGTACACGTGAAGCATTTTTGCATAGTAAGGAGAGACCTTCGGCAATCGACAGAAGAAACTTTCTTGGAAAAAGGAAGCGCGAAACGTCGGTTTCTTTTGATTGAGACACCCTCTTCCTTCCTCCGAGCAATTTTACGGACGAAAACGTATTACAGGCTTTATTGTGCTAATCGAAATTCAAGTTTCTTTATCGTGGTGGTTTTTATCACTATTGTCTTGTACAAACGATTGAACTTATTTAATAATTAATTTGTTTAAAGAAGAAAAAATATTTAAGAAAATCACATATGTGTGTGTTAGTCTTGCAATACATTTATCAAATATATGATATTTCTTACAAGTATATTGAGAGAAAAAACAGATTTTATAAGTGACATTTATTCTGCTGTATTTTTCTCCTAACATTATTATTAAGATACAATCTGTTGGGAAATGTTTACATTATTCTTCGTAGATATGTACAAATATTGCAAACCAGATCTCATATTTTCGCATGATCCATTTTTCACTATTTCTATTTACGCAGGTTATGAGAAAATTTGTTATTTTGCTTTGCAATGCTTTCACATTTATTTCTGATGTAAAGTACAGAATTGACTGTTGCGATAACGAAATTTGCGTTCTCAATGTACGTTCTATCATCTTTGAAAGAATTTCCAATTAATGTTTTCTGAAATATCAACGAATTAAAAAGAATAAAGGTTGTAATTTGACACGCATATGCAAAATGTAAAAACATTCATTATATGATATTCTAAAATAAAGGGATTTCGATTCGCGCAAAATAAATTATATAGAAGAGCATGTTGTAAAATTTTAATTATTATTACTCAGAATCGTTCAGGATTATTTTTCATGTATATTTCTTGCCACAACAATAACTAGAACAATATGAAAAAATTTTATAAAAATGATCTCGTAATGAAACTCAAGAATACCTGTGAAATACGTATCATCATTTTCTCTGTAAATTCCCAGGGCGTCTTCTATCTCGGGCGCGTAAAGAGAAAATGCGGAGACATTTCGAAAATGGAACGTCGGGTTTTGCGGCAACTTGCCGGAAACGATGCTTGTGATATACATTCGCGGGTGCTTCCTTTGCTCTTCCCTCGGTTAGCGAAAATTCCCTCGTCTCTCTCGCGTGCCATCGCGTATCTACGCGTTGAATGATTCTCGGATCGTCTTCGAAAAGCGCCGCTGCTCTCGTTTCATCGATATCACATATCGATCTTTCCTCGGGATTATGTTGCAGGAATTGTTCGGCGCTTGCAAAATTCGGATAGGCGAGATGTAGGTGAAATATCAACGTGCGTCGCGTTTCTCTTATTTTGTTATTAATTCGCAACAGATAGACATGTACATACGCGAGATGCGTGTCAGCTTCGTGCAATAAAAGAGAATTTCTCTCTTTTTTCCTCTCTTTTTTTTTCTTTTTTTGCCTTCTATATATGTTTGTCAGTCTTTGTCCATTCATCGAGCGGATTTACATAGGATCTGGGATGCAGAATAGACCCGAAGTTTTACGATTCGTCCTGCAGAAAGCCGTGCGCACAGTGATAAAGAGAGGCCTTTACACAGTATATATATTCGTGACAAGTACTAAAATATAGCATAAACACACTAATTTCTATTCCTAAAACTATATTTCATTGCTTTAGAGCGGAATCTCAACATTAGGAAATTAGCTTATATTGTGTGTATTCGCACTTGTCTCACGTTGTATTTCATGTCATCAATGCAACGATCTGTTTATTCGTTTTTGCAATATTTAAATTGCGAGATGTAGGTCAACAGGGAGAAAGCTGATCGTCGCGAGAGAGTCGCGAAATTCAACAAATCGAGTGCAATGTATTTTTAGGACATGTAAAAAAACAAGAGAGAAAAACAGTGACATTGCAGACACGTATCTTTCTTGTATCTTTAGAATACAGCATCGCGAGAGCCGAAAAAAAATTCTCTCTCTCTCTCTCTCTCTCTCTCATTTCGAGGGTCCTACAACGAGAACGAATAAATCCACAGATCTTAGGCCCTCTTCGACGGCTTACCGCGGGTGAATTTATGTAGTCGATCCTTCAGGCGTGTGCCTTCCGTCTGGGAATTTGTCAGAAAGGAGCCGCAAGTCCGGGGGCAGTAAAAAAAGATAGAATAAAAAAAGATTCGGAAGCGAGGCTTACTCTCACACGTGAGAGAAGACCGATGAGGAAGAGGCAGGGTGAGGAGAACAGGCTGAAGGTCGAAAAACTCACGATGCATTTATAAATATTGCCATTGTACAGGCGCCAAGGACTATATTTTTCATCCGTTGTTTGCTTTCACGACAGCGCCTTTGGGCAGCATAAGCTCGCAAGCAGTCCGTATATTTTCGAGCCCGATACGATTTCAGGGTGTTTTTGTGATCTATTACTTACGAAAGAAGAGAGTTGACTTTCGGATATATTTTTCACTGCGCGCAGACGACATCATCTTTTTCCAATCTGCGGAAATTAATGAGTATAAGAGAAGGTGCACGGAGAAGAGCATTTGGATTTTAGATTTCAAGTGAAATTCGCTCCACCGTACTTCCGCATCTTGCGCTATACTTGATTTTTAAACTGTATTAATTAATTTATATTAAGATGTTTTCTGAGTTTCTTCAAGGAGAGAATATCAGGACATTAAATTCAATTTATCACTGGTTTCATTAATAAAATATATAAAATATATAAAATATATAAAAATATATAAAAAGTTGTGCGCCAAATTAATTTACTTAATGAGATCACAAGTTAACGCACAAGTATACTTTTCACGGAACCGTGATGCGAAATTGTGGTATTTCAGAAGGAATATTTTTGTCGTGTTAGGATTATGTTACCTTTGTGACATTGCCGTTATCCATGGCCGTTCATGATCTCGTTCTTTGAGTCTGCAGAAAATGTTCCTTCTCATATTTCGCGGTCAGCCGAGGGTCGTTGCGAACACGGAGCCATTTCGATGATTCACGGTCATGACTCACTTTACTACCACGGGCATCGAAGGGTTCGCATAAACGAGGTCTCCGGAACCGCTGGTAGCGACGAATAACAGGAAACCGGCGGAAGAGTCTACGACACGAATATAACGATTTCAATCGAGTTCTTACGTGTGCAGAAAGATCTCCACATTTCCGTCATTTTATTTCGATTCTTCCGAATCTCTTGTCATTTCTCCAATTGTATTATCGAGATCTTATCCATGTCAGATTTGCAACAAATTTCCTAAAAACATATATAAATACATATATGCAACAAAGATACGCTGCAGGATAGAGATCAACACGATCTATTTGAAACTTTATTTTTTGTCTTAAGAATTTGAGCAAAATTAAAAACTCTTAACATTATGCATTTTAATAATTTGCCCAACACTGAAATAACAAAATTGTTTGATTATTATCGAATAGCCGAGTCGCGAGATGTGCTTGAAATTAATCGCGCAACTCAACAAATGATTTTTTTTCGTTCAGCCCTGTCGTATCGGACAAATGTGGCTAATAAATTTCAGGCAGGACAGGTTCGCGCAGATTCACGCGCTTCAGATGCAGCCGCGGCCACTCACCCCTTTGAGAGGGAGCGAGAGAGAGAGAACTCGCCGTTCAGAAACGCAAAAAGTCTCGCTCGCGGCATCGATCGGGCTACTTAAACCGGGCTATCGAATTCGATAGCCGATGGTCGTTTAATGGTCGGTTATGCACTGGAGGACAGACCGTTCTCTTCTGCGCATGGACACCCGAGACAGAGATGATGAGGTCGCGTGCGCGAACTGAAATTCACGTCATGTCATAAATCATGTCGCGTCGGTTTCCCATGCATGAGCGAATGTCGCGACTCGACGACGACGACGACGACGACGATGACAACGACTTTTGATTGCGTCGACAACGCCTACGCGTGTGTGCGGCCTGTTTAAGTACGCGGACATAAAGTACACATAACTGGTTCCATGTGCGCGAGACAACCAAATGATACTTCGCGAGCGTATCTTAACCGTGGTCGCGTTAATAACTTTTTTTCGTGATAAAATTTATCACTTTTGCGATAACTTGGTAAAACGATACTGATAACGCTAAAAATATATTTCTTGCAAGAAATTCTTCTTTTATATTTCTCACGCGTCTGGAAGTGTAATTATCGTTCATTTCTCGAAGCGATAACAAAAAGTGTAATTTGCAAAGGATGCTATTATAATAGACCGTAGAACTACTATCATTTTATTTTAAATATATGTCTTCTAAAGAACAAATTAAAATATGCATACAGTCCAAAGTTCTTGGATATTTAATTAGAGTTTTCAAACCAGTGGACTATTTCTACTTATTAAGAATTAAATTATGCAATAAAAATCACACTTTAATTTACATGCAAATTGTATAACGTATATAAATGTTAACAAGGAGTGAAGTAGTCTAAATTATATTTGCAGTCGACAATTATACATTCGAAAGAATGCATGATTTATTCATATCGTTTTTCTCTCTTTCTCAATTCGCTTATGCGAGAGGCATAAATTCCTCAATAAGTTTACTATGACTGTTTACGAGCGTGAATGGTCTCTTGTACGCAAACCATAACGCTTATCTTATCCGCGAGTTACGCGGGTTCTGTCATCCACAGTCCCTAAAGCGACGAAAAAGCGACAGTTACAACGACGAAAAAAAGAAGATTGACGTATAAAAGTCAAAGATTACGTTTATTACGACTGAAAAAAATAAGCCAGCTTATACGGCGGTATCGCAAAGCGACAAATACCATCATGCGCGTTTCCCATCCATTCACGGGGCTTTACGAAACGTAAACGAGACATAATTCACATTACCCATTGTCAAGACCGTGGTGCTGGTGCCACAGTAATTTAGACAGTAATTTATCCTGAGAACACGTCTCTTGCCTGCGATATCGTCTACGTGGTTCGTTATCTTCTCATTCTTTTTCGTGACAGCTGTACAGTTTGTGACACGGCAATAATTAATAAGTATCGTTGCTCGATTGTTTTATTAATGCCTGCTCACTTTTGTTGAATATATATTATTCGCGAAGCTCTAGATTCTCTAGATACATTATAATTATAAAATAAAATATAATCGTAGCTTGGCAGCAGTTGGAAGTAAAAATAATCTCTCGAATAATCGTTGTGCATATTAAATAACGCAGAAGAAAATACAGTTACTATGGTAGCTCAGAGAGATAATGTTTTTAGATCTTCATAACATTTTTAGTTTGTTGAATATATTATATCCCTCAGGAACTTAATTGCAGCTTTTCGAATTACGGATATTTTTATGGCAACTCGAGAAAGATACATGCATACTACGAAAAATAAATTTTTTTACAAAAAATTTATCAAGATATATATTTTTTCAATATTTTCATAGATCATATCTTCTTCAATAAGCCCTTTGTTTCATGTAATATTTCAACTGCACATTTGTTATCGTATATTTTATTATTCACGTTTTATTCATACCTACTGACACTTTCGTTTCTATTTCTGGTTTTTTTTTTTTTTTTTGAGAGATTATTAATAATTCTGAAACATTTGATGAGATCGGCAAATCATGATTTTTTTTAATACGCACAATTGATCGAAAACTTCGGAATTAATTATTGATTATACTTTAGCAAAAATCATTATTGCATTTTACCTTCAAAAAAATTAACAGAACCTTATATTAATGGAAATACTATCTTATTAATTGAACAAAGAACATGTATGGAATTCGCGTGAATCGTTTCATCGATGATTCAGAGGGACGGATAAAGAGATAGATTCTGATGCGAATAAGGATGCAAATAATACACGTATCATTACATGTGAATATTTTATTCATTTTACGTTTTGGAGCGTTAAACGCGATGCGGGTACGCGTTGATTGATCATTCTGTGATTCTCCCGTCAACGAAATATTCGGTTGCGATGCTTTACTGATATGGTGCCGGCGTCAAAAGCAACGGACCCTCGTGCGTCGATCTAAATTACAAAATCGACTTTACGGACAATCGATAGGTTTGTCGCTGTACTCGGGAGTATTGACGAGTGATCACGTGCGTTCATCCTAATATCAGATTTAACGTTCGACATGGGGGAAGACAAACAGCGCTCGGTATTGGATGATGAAACGTGGAACGCGCGACAAACATATGCCCCCGAAATACCGCTGTAATAACGGGATGTAAATTCACCAGAATAGACGAACGTGGATAGAGAAACGTGGCGTACCGCATTGCATCATGAAAATTCGACGCTTTGTTCCAAATGCGTTTTTAAGCGAGCACATTCACACATATGTTACGAAATATTTCACTCTCCGATTCCATAAATCGCGGAAATTATGAATAAAAATTGAGTGAGAGAAAGTTGGCAGAAATGGTGTTTTTTGCACATTATACTTTTACATATTGGAAAGTAAGATTTTATTTTGCATCTATTTTACATTTCATTGTTTTATATATTATATCGTACAGTACAGAAAGGATTGTAATTTCTTTTAATACTGCTTTATGTCAATCTGGTCTGAAAATAACAACTTAAATTTAAAATATGCGTTGCAACTTGCATTATGCATTACATTTGATGAAATATTAATTAGGCATGTTACTCTAAAATTCAGCTGCATTTTAATGCATGCATATTAATTTTAATACGTTAAAATTAAATATTTTTAAGCGCAATTTTCGTAAACAATGTATTTGTAAAGCACTTGTCAAAATCTCCACATACTTTGTAACATGATTTATTATGTACATAATAATGCATAATTTTTATTATTAGATCAGTTTTTTTCTTCTTCACCTAGAATCTATATAGTATTGTATATGCTCTGTCATAAAAGTTTAAGGGAAAAAAGTCGAGCACATTTATTAATTTAATATAAGCACAGTTCGCTTAATGTGAACGGTATCTATTATGATTCGCGTAGATCGATGCATCAAAAATTATTTTAATTATAAAATTATTTAATTATAAACATTAAGCGACACAGTAGTTTATAGTTTCGTAAAATCATTTCCGCTAACGAAACAATAAAGATTTCGACGATCGTAATAGAGAAGAGCATTAAACGCTGTTCTCGAGCGCGAGAATAGAACGAGAGAGTGTCACGCTAGAAATTCCGCGGCTACCTCTCGGAATTACTGTTAACGATTATTCTCTCTTACGAATACGGTATCCCTTTGTTTTTACGAGCGGTGCAGCAAGTTCGCTGACGAGCTTTATTCGCATTTAACGCGCGACTTGCAACGCGCGATCCCAACATCCGGCCGATCATTTATTCCACATTTCTTACGGTGGATTGTGCAATGACGCGGTCGTTAAAATACAGAGAAAACACGCATTCACTTAAGATGTCCTCCGTATCATCGAGATGTTACACAAGAATCAGGTCTTTTTTTACTGGAGAATTTAAATTATTTTTTTTCAGATTCTCTGAACGGTAAATCTTTTTCGTATCGAAAAATCTATATATACTCATTGTAATACATTATTTATAAAATATCTCTTAAGAGATGACCCACTATATTAAATTTTTTTCAATCGTACAGTAGTCAGTATTTTTATCTTTAGTTATTTGATTAATTTTTATTTTTTGCAAATATAATTTGCAAAATTCTAAGAATAATTCTCTCTGTGTTTGACAAGCACGTGTGTTCTTAACGGTACAATTTGACAAGCATAAATAGAATTCAGGGGAAAAATAGAGGGAGAGGAAGATTTTGCGAAGAAAAATTAATCTTAAGATTTAGAAAGACAGGGCCAACTATAACGAGCATATTAAATTAGTGAGAGATGTAATGTCAACACATAATTGATTTATTTCTTAGTAAATACAATGATAATAAAAAATAAACGTTTCGGCTGTTACCTTTAAAATTAATCTGTTAATTGTGATGTGCAATTTGTAAAAAATAAAAAAAAAAGTCCTCCCCGGCGGGGAATCGAACCCCGGTCTCCCGCGTGACAGGCGGGGATACTGACCACTATACTACCGAGGACTTGTTGGAAGACATTGTTCGTTATTGTCGTTTTCTGCGAGAAGAGACAATCTTTGTCCAAGTACAAAGTATAATACATATACATATATATCGAAATACAAGTTAACAATTTTGAGAAATTTACATTATTTACATACATAATATATTTGCCGATATTGATATGGGATTTATCTAAATTGTCATCTCTAAGACTTGTTTAGACAAATATTGATTTCAATAAAGACCAAATTATTTGACATTTGAAAATATTAATACTATTCACGATATAATCAGTTTTTATATTTTAATAATATTTAAAAAATTAAATGCAATAAATTATTAATAATAGTGAAAATTGAAAACGTCAAAATGAAGATGCCGCACTATGCGCGAAGACTACTAATAAGAACGAGTACATCAACAAGTCCTCGGTAGTATAGTGGTCAGTATCCCCGCCTGTCACGCGGGAGACCGGGGTTCGATTCCCGCCGGGGAGGATTAATTTTTTTTTTTATTTTTTACGAATAACACATCTCAGTTAACAGATTAATTTTCACTCTTTCACTTAATTTTTTATTTGCGCTTGTCAAAAAAAAAAAAAAAAAAAAAAAAAACATGATTTTCATGAACGGTGCACATATCCATTCGCAATCGCGCTTGTAAAAATTCGTATCAAATTTATACGGAAAGTAACACTTGTAAACCGAACACGATCCCGGTTCATCAGTATAACTAATGCATTTTATACATTCTATACCTTACACCGACAAATACGTCGAGATTATGTTTCGCGTGTTACGTTTCACAACGAATATTTTAATACCGCGCCGTGAAATCAGAAAGAACGGAGGAGATGTGTATCGTAAGGGGTGCATATTTATTCGTCCGGTTGATTTATACGCGTTATTTCAAAATTCCCCAATCCCAATTCGACGCGTCCGCTTTGCGATTCAGGCGTTTCGCGGCCCGCTCGCGG